TATCTTTATAATTTCATGGTGTTTTGGTTTTATTTGGGGTATTCACTCTTTGCCCATAGCTGAGACCCTAACGGGTGATATCACCCAGGGTCTGGGTGAACCAGGGAACAACAGCAATCAAGAGGTGGTTGCGCGTTCCTCCAAATCTCCACTCTGCCGATCAGAGATCATGTTGCCCTGATGTAGTTTATCGTCAAACCCAGGACTAAACCCATCAAGGTCGAAGGAGGACCATATGTACTGCATCTATAGCAGGAATGGTGCGTCTAGATTTAGTTGGACGAAGTTCATCATCTCTTCAGACTGGATTTGAATTCAGAACTTGTCTCCTATTAGATTGATTGCTACCTCAAGGCAAGAAAGCCCAGTGAGGCCTGCTATTTAAACCATAGACGGTGGGAAAGAACATATATTTCTCTAAAGGTGTTTGCAGCCAAAGTTAACGGAACGATATCGCTCGGAATTCGAATTTGGCTGAATGATTTTTTTGTCCCGATTTCAAACTGTTACGCCATCCGTGCACTCGGAATCAATAATACTTATGTTTAGATAATAATTAAGACTAAATGCTTTAAGTAGGAAATGCTGACTGTTCATCAGATTACAATATTAATTAACTACATAGAAAAAAAAAAAACAAAAAAAAATAGTTTAATGCCTGTCTAGCAGTTCCACATCTGGTATCTGGTAGTTCCACACTGATGCCTCTGCGAGGGTCGAAGCTAGTTTTACAACTAGTAAATATCAATAACTAAAAAAAAAAAAAAAAAACCCCAAAAAACAACATATAATTTACTTACACTAATACATAAAATAATAACAACAAATTCTAAATGTGAGGTATAACTTCTGTAACAATAAAAACACCAAGAACAACTATAATAATAATAATAATAATAATAATAATAATAATAATAATAAAAGAGGAGACGCTGCAAAACGTGTTTTAAGAAGCTCTTCCAAACGTAACGTTTTTTTTTTTTACGCATATGAAATTTTGTTATTTTTTACAACGAGAAGGAAAACTTGAACAACAACCCCGCAACTCAAGGTGTTAATCAGTAGGAGTGAATGGCTACTGCGTTATGAGGTCGCGAACGATCCCCCCAGGCTTGTTTGAACCCTGTCTGTAAAAGACCGTTACTCAACGTGCAATAACTTTGGGTGGACTTTGGACCCGTATCACTCGTTTTTAATAAAAATAAAAATAAAAAAAACGTCCAGTATGGCTTTTTCCAGTGGATAAACAGGGAGCCCGTCTCAGGAGGGAACCTACCTGAGGTCGAAAAATGATGCCATAGGAACAAACTCCTACACAAAGAATGAATCTTCAGGTCCCCACAACCAGGATAATCCTAATGATGGTCCTGTAAAATCTCCAGCTAGATCCATAACCGTAAATTTAATAAAGAAAAATAAAATGGTCTCGTGAGGAGCTTTTTTCCCTTAAAACTGCATTCCATGAAGGAAAAACCTGTTATGATATGACATTTGGCTTGACCAATTAGAAAGTACATAGACAAAAAATAAACTAGCCAATCGGGGGACCCATGCGAAATAAACGATTGACAATGAAATTAATGAAATAAAAAGAATTTGGTAACAAGAATAGATGAACCAACAAAACATGAAAAGGAACCGAATAAAAAAAAGTAGTAACATCAATAAGCCTCAGGTCATAATGAAAAAAATAAATACATCGGCCAGCGCCGGTTACAGAAATAGAAGATGTCACCATTCTAATTATACCATCCACACAGACAGAAAAATTGAAGTAGGCTTTTATTGTCAAAAAACCAGAAAGAAAAACTGCCTACTAATTGATATGGCTTGTCCAGCGGATTGTAACATAGCAAATTCAAGGAATTTGAAAACCCAAAATACAAAGACCTGAAATTGAAATACAAAAAAAATGAAATTGAAAACAAGAATAATACCAGTGGTAATAGGTGCAATAAATTATAAAATGGAACAAAACAACACATTGAAAGAATCCCTGAAAACCCCAGCTTAAGAGACATACAGAAAATTGTCTTATTAAAACAGCACACACACTAAGGAGAACTTGTCTATGTAACGCTCTTCATCGGAGATAAAAAAAAAAAAAAAAAAAAAAAATGAAATTAACAACACACCACGAAAGGTCTTTCCGCAGACTTGGTAAGTGTGTCCATAGCAAAATCGAATGATGATGATGATAATAATAATAATAATAATAATAATAATGGCTTTTTTCCCTCAAAAATGCTCAGTGGAAAATGTTATGATGCCATTTCTGACCTTAGATCTCTGATCGGGACCCGGAAAGCAATGATTATACACCAGAAATCAAAGGAAATAATAATAATAATAATAATAATAATAATAATAATAATAATAATAATACGAGGGACGCTAAAAGATTTATCGGCCTGAACTACTTCGACAATCAGTATGACCAGTGACTGTGTATTAGAATATTGATTTTGAGAAGTGGGACGGCTCGTGGATATTTCAGTCATCGTACGCAATAATAATAATAATAATAATAATAATAATAATAATAATAATAATAATGATTTTTAGTTATTCATTTCAAATAATATTTAATCGCTTGTTCTGTAGATCAAGTGATAGCAAATCGCTTCAGTGCTCCAGGACACTCATGTACACGCGTGTACATAACTTAATATTAGTAATGTTGTTATCTGGGTGATTTCAATACTTACCTCCAATTATTGTACCCTCTTTTAAGGGCTTTTAGGGCTGTTTTATGCTCGCCAAAAATAATGAATATGACTGCCACGCACCACAATAGTTTTTAGTTGTTTCGCGATGTTGAGATATTTTCCCAATGTTTTATTATTATTATTATTATTATTATTATTATTATTTGTGTAAGTTATGTTTATGTATCCTGTAGAGCCGGGTCCAAACTATGGTCCTTAGGAAAATTGTCATTTAATTGATAGCACTTTTCTTAGTATATGGAAAGGATGCAAGGTCGACCTTGTGGGCCACTTGTTGATGTTATCTGGGACACTGTCAGTATAATTGTCCATTCCTTTTCTCACAAGGCCTAGAGCTCCGATTACTTTTGTTACAGTCTCACTCTTCATTCCCCACATCCTGTTAATCTCGATCTCCAGGTCCTTCTATTTGGACAATTTCTCGATAATTTTTATCGAGGTGTTTCTCTTAGATGATACTGCGATGTCAATAAGCATATACCTCCTGAATTTCTTGTTTTTTATGATAATATCAGCTCTGTTGGCTTTCCATGTCAGTTTGGATTGGCATTATTATTATTATTATTATTATTATTATTATTATTATTATTATTATCTTTGATTTCTGGCGTTTACACATTTCTTTCCGGGTCCCGCCCACGGACCTAAAGTTAGAAATGGCGTCATGACACTTTCCACTGACAAAAAAAAAAAAAAAAAAATTACATAGATAAAGCCCTTCGTAAAGTGTTGTTGTTATTATTATTATTATTATTATTATTATTATTATTATTATTTCCTTAGATTTCTGTTGTAGGCACATTTCATTTAGGTCCCAACCAGAGATCTGTGGTCAGAAAAGGCTTCATTACATTTTCCTATGATAATTTTTGTGAAAAAAAACATCACACACATTTTGCATAAAGCTCTTCGTAATGTGTGACCAGTACTTTTTTGTATTGCTTTACAGCATGTTAATATTATTATTGTTAATATTATTATTATTATTATTATTATTATTATTATTAGCGCAAGTAAGTAATAAATGATTAATAATAATTAATTAATTAATAATACTACACAAATCTGGCCAAAAAAGAATAATTACGTTAATGTTGTTAATCCAGCGTGTAGGGGATTAAATGCATTCATCCTCACACATATACACACACACACATATTTCTTATTATAAATGATATATTTAATGAATACACATCACTGAGTAACC